AGAAAGATAATCCCTGACCTTCCAGGAATTAACAATTTATGAGGGAAGACTGCACAAAAGGAAGCTGAAAGCAGAGTTGGGGAGTAGGAGGGGGAACAAAAGTGCCATTGGCTAGCATGGTGGAGGAAGTTCCAGAATGTGGCCTGGAGAGGAATGAGACATAGCTTAATAAATCCTTGTTTACTTAACCTTTTTTGAAAAGCAAAATATTTGTCCTATAATGCTGTGATAGCTCTTCAGTTCTCCACGATCCTTCAAAGATTAATTAATAGTTCAGCAGTTATCCCTTTCAGTTTTTTCAAAACTCTAGGCTATATTCCATCAGGGCTGGGTACTTGAATTCATCAAGGGCACCTAGGTGCTCTCTTAGTATTTTCCTAATTATTTTGAGTTTCAAATACCTATTTTCAATTCTTTTTTTTCCCCTGTCCTTTTCATCCTAAATATCATGCTCTTTGGGAGAAAAAAAACAGAAGCAAAATAAGGGTTGAATAGCTCTTTCTTCTCATCGCCCATTTTCATCATGCCACCTACCCTTAGCTGCCATCTTATCCTTACTTTTATCTTTATTTTTCCCCCAATGTGACTAAAAAGAAGTGACAATAAAAATCTCTAGCTTTCCTTGCCAACTTTAATTCATTCAGTGTTTTTGTACTCTAGATAATATTCTTATGTGACCCTGACTGTAAGAACTCATTTGATTTAATCCTGTTTCCTGTCTTTGTCTTCTGCATGTCTTTAAAAATCTGAATTGATTTATGAGTTCCCCTTTGTATTCACATTCATCTCTTTAAACAATCACCTCCTCTTTGCTCCTCCTCATAATTTTTTCTCTTCTGTATCTTCAGATTTTCATTTTTGAGTTTTTTTTCAACTCTTTTGGACTGACTTCCTCTGTAAACTTTTAGGTCCTGGGATCCTTTTAGGAAATACTTGATTTTTTTTTTTAATCCATGGTTTGCATAAGATTTGATGTGACTTTCTTTACTTTGTTCTAAGATGGAGTACTCACTGCCCCCCAGCAATCAGTTCCTCCTTGTTTGGCCTAGTCTGGACCTGTAATTTCATCAGAATAGGTAACATCTGGCTTGCACACTGCTGTATAACTTAGAATTTTAGAGAATTGTTGGGGGGGCACCGAGAGTAAAGGCACAGTGAACCTCTGTTCACTGCACAGTGGTGCCTCTCTCTTCCTCACTGGCGATTCAAATTGTCCACATTTTCAAAAATAAAATTATCATTAAATCAACTTAAGAAAATATCAGCTACTCTGATTCGGGCATAGAGTCTAGTCCAGCAGATGTCTGTTTAGGTAAAGTTCCCTACCACTTCAATTTCATGTTGTCTTGCTGGGATTTTGGTGTTTCTTAAACTACTCATCTGTGTCCTCTTATGGTCTGTCTAGGTGATATGTAGTATATGCTAATAGCAATAATGCTTCTCTTTCTGTGTCCATTGATCTTTACTAAAATGTTCTTCACTGTGCTTATCTTCTCTGCTTCCTCTATTTCCTTGCATAAACATATGTGTTTAAAATACAGCCCTTAACTCCACTTCCATCCCCGTCCAATTCTTTGGAATATTCCATTCCTTTGGAATAAGGCAAACCCTTCTATGCCATATTCCAGTCATGGGCCTCATTCCACAAAATCTTTGTGAGGTCAAACTTTCCTTCTTTTGTAATAGTCTCTAGTTTTCCCTGCTTGTCATCCATCCTTTGTGCGTTAGTGTATCAGCATCTACATCAGAGGCCATGGATTTTATTGCTATCTACTTACTTTTACTTGGTCTCATGTGAATTTCTGGAAGCCTCTGCTTCTATTCTTATATATCTTGTGGCTACTTTCTATAGTGTCTAGCTTGATTGTTACATAATAGACAGTTGTCTCCCTCCTCCCTTTGTAATTTAAATTTTTTTTATTAGATTTAAAAGATTCTAAGCAAGTACATTTTAAAAACCAGTTCTTGTTAGGTATATACCATCCTTGACCAGAGTCCTATCATGGTCCAGAAATCCAAGTCCTATTCTCAGGCAAACCTGAGTTGTATCCCTTTGATCTACTCTGGTCTAGACTTGTAGGAACAGTCATTTCGAAACTGAACTAACCTCCATTAGTTCAGGATAAATGAGTCAGGGATATATGCCACCCTGAAAATTGCCAAGCTCTTTTATCTTCTCCTGTGAAGTGACTAAAATAATACCATTTGCTTCTTATAGGATCATAAAAACAGGAGGGATGTCAGAGTCTCTCTAGGCCAGGTTCCTTTTTTTTGAGCATTTATTTTTTCCAATTACATGTAAAGAAAGTTTTCAACATTCATTTTTTTTATAAGATTTTGAATTCCAAATTTTTCTCCTTCCCTCTCATCCCACCTCCCCAAGAAGGCAAGCAATCTGATATAGATTATACATGTGCAATTATGTTAAACATATTTTTACATTAGTCATGTTGTAAAAGAAGAAACAGAACAAAAGGGAAAAGCCACACACAAAAAAGTGAAAATGGTATGCTTCAATCTGCATTCAGACTCCATAGTTCTCTTCTGGATATATATATAGTATTTCCCATTGCCAGTCTTCTGGAATTGTCTTGGATTATTGTAGTGCTGAGAAGAGCTAAGTCAGTCATAATTGATCATCACTCAATGTCACTGTTACTGTATACAGTGTTTTCCTGGTTCTGGTTGCTTCACTCAGCATCAGTTCATGTTAGTCTTTCCAGGTTTTTCTGAAATCCTCCTGCTCATCATTTCTTAGAGCAAAATAGTATTTCATTACATTCATATACCACAACTTGTTTATCCATTCCCCAGTTGATGGGGATCCCCTCAATTTCCAATTCCTTGCCATGACAAAAAGAGCTAGTACAAATATTTTTGTACATGTAGATCCTTTCCCCCTTTTTATTAACTCTTTGGGATAGAGACCTAGTAGTGGTATTTCTAGATCAAAGGGTATGTAGTTTGGTTGTCCTTTGGGCATAGTTCCAAATTGCTCTCCAGAATGGTTGGATCAGTTTACAACTCCACATGCATTAGTGTCCCAATTTTCCCACCTCTCCAACATTTGTCATTTTCCTTTTCTGTCATATTAGCCAATCTGATAGGTGTGAGGTGGTATCTCAGAGTTGTTTTAATTTGCATTTCTCTAATCAGTAGTGATGTAGAACATTTTTTCATATGACTGTAGATAGTTTTGGTTTCTTCGGAAACTGTCTATTCATAACCTTTGACCATTCATCAATTGGGGAATGACTTGTATTCTTATAAATTTGACTCAGTTCTGTATGTATTTGAGAAATGAGGCCTTTATCAGAAACACTTGCTGTTTGTTTCCCATCTTTTGCTTTCCTTCTCATCTTGGTTGCATTGGTTTTGTTTGTGCATAACCTTTTTATTTAATATAATCCACAATTATCCATTTTGCATTTCATAATGACATTTTAAAGTTAACACTACTCTTATATGGTCATAAATTCTTCCCTTCTCTCTAGATCTGACAGGCAAACTGTTCCTTGTTCTCCTAATTTGCTTATGGTATCACTCTTTATATCTAAATCATGTACCTATTTTGACCTTATCTTGGTGTACAGTGTAAGATGTTGGTCTATGCCTAGTTTCTTCCATACTTTTTTCTAGTTTTCCCAATAGTTTTTGTCAGATAGTGAGTTCTTATCCCAGAAGTGGGAGTCTTTGAGTTTATCAAACAGTAGATCGCTGTAGTCATTTACTACTGTGTCTTATGTACCTAACCTATTCAACTGATCCACCATTCTATTTCTTAGCCAGTACCAAATAGTTTTGATGATTGCTGCTGTATAATATAGTTTTAGATCTGGTGCAGTTAGGCCACCTTCCTTTTCATTTTTTTCATGAATTTCCTTTCAGGGGTGGGTAATCTGTGGCCTTGAGGCCCTCTAGGTCCTCAAATGCAGCCCTTTGTCTGAATCCAAATGTCACACAACAAATCCCCTTAATAAAATATTTGTTCTGTAAAACCTGGACTCAGTCAAAAGGCTGCACCCAAGGACCTAGAAAGCTACATGTGACCTTGAAGTCACAGATTCCCCACCCCTGTCCTTGATATTCTTGAGCTTTTGTTCTTCCAGATGAATTTTGTTATTTTTTCTAGCTTTATAAAGTAATTTTTGGTAGTTTGGTATGGTGCTGAATAAGTAAATTAATTTAGGTAAAATTGTCATTTTTATTATATTAGCTAGACCTACCCATGAGCAATTGCTATTTTTCCAGTTGTTCAGATCTGACTTTATTTGTGTAAAATATGTTTTATAGTTGTGTTCATATAGTTCTTGGGTTTATCTTGGTAAGTAGATTCCCAAATATTTTATGTTGTCTACAGTTACTTTTTTTGTTTGTTTTTGTTTTTTTTAGTGAAGCAGTTGGGGTTCAGTGACTTGCCTAGAGTCACACATCTAGGAAGTATTATGTGTCTGAGGCCGCATTTGAACACAGGTCCTCCTGACTCCAGGGCCGGTGCTCTATCTACTGCGCCACCTTGCTGCACCCGCCACTTAGCTGCCCCGTGTCTATAGTTATTTTAAATGGAATTTATCTTTCTGTCTCTTGCTGCTAGGCTTCAGACTTTTCATTTTAAAGATGAGAAAGAGACGTGGCTGAGATCACAAAGGTAGTATATATCAGTTGGGATTTGAACACAGTTCCTCTGACCATGGAGTCACATCAGATAAATTTGATTACTTACATACCATGTTTTCACTTTGACAAAGTCTAGGTTCACCAAAGAAAGCATGGTAAGGTTCTTCTTTTCCCAAAAACCTTGTCATGAGCAAATATTCTGTGTGACTACACTGGGACATAGACTGACAAATCTGTGTTCCTGTTTTTCTGCCTCTGAAAATTTTGTTTTTATATTTATTTTTCTATGCATTTTTTAATAAATATAAACTGCCTTACATGTCTTTATTTTTCTCACAGGTGCATTTTCATTGTGTGCTGATGAAATGTTCTTTCCTCTGTAGTTACGCTCCATGGTGTCCAGCCTGCCTTCAGACTGAATCAGAATGGGAGACTTTTGCCAAAAGTGGTGAAATACTTGATGTCAGTGTGGGAAAGGTGGATGTTACTCAAGAACCAGGTACTATAGATGATGAACTTTGAATGGCATATTTTTAAAGAGAACTTTCAATGGGCAGGCTTTTAAATGTTGGCAAGATGCCCAAAATTAACTATTCACTCAGTGTATAATATCCTGTAATTTAAGAAATAAAGCTATATTATTATGTAATCCATATTAACTCTAAAAATTAGATGATTTCAAAGTCTCCAAAAGAACTTTATTTTTACCTTTGAACTGTTTTTTTTCTTTCAACTTATTAATTTCATTTCTAAGTTCTGTTTTGACCTGTTGGGACCGTTTGAAAACAGGAAGAATAGATACGGACTTACTGTTGGAAGCTAAAGGATCAGATTTTGGAAGATCTACATTTAAAAACCCTAATCGTTAATTCAGTTGGCAGTTAAAAAAAAAAAGGCTGTGCAAGTTAGGCCTGAAATGTATAATAGATCTAAGGAAGGATATTTTCATTAAAAACCATCCTCAGTGGGGCAGCCTCTTTGTCCCTTTTATAGAGGCCTTTGAATACCAATCATTTCTGCTGCTCTGCTTTTTAAAAGGAGGAAAAATTATGGTTGCTTTTGTGTATGTAGGGGGGTGGTTGATTATGCATGTTATGCATGATTTGGGTATTAGAGATCCATGGTGGAGGTCATATTCTTATAATTATACTTTTGCTGAGAACTTGTACTTAACATGGTTATCATTTTCAGCCCAGTGAAATTAGGTGTGAATGTCATCAGTTAACGAGCAGCCAGAACATATTATATGTTACAAAATACTTGGAAATTTAGCTGGTTTGTTTAAATTTCAGTCATTTGAATAAATACTTCATGAGTTCACATCATGATAGAAGAAATAAATTGAAGAATTCATAATGGAAGCCTTCATAACTTTAAAATATAATTGAATCCATTGTTTCCATCCAAAATTTAGAATTACAGCCAAAATTTTGACAGTGTGCACACTAGGATGACTTTTGTTAATAAAGTAAATTAAGTGAAGAAACATTGAAAACACTAAATATGCAAATGCATATATATTTTTATTCAATATTACCAGCTTAATATAATTGTGCTAACTAAAAAAGATAATCATTGACAAATATTTGAAAAAAAGTAAATGAAGGAATTGACAAAAACTCAATTTTATAATATATCACACAAACTAAAAATAGCAAAGAAGCAAATATTTTAGAACAAAACAAATTGAGTGTGCCCTTCAGAACAGATTGCAGATAGTGACAACTTTAAAAAGAAGCATTAAATTCCTCATTGTTTTGAAGTAATTAAAACTTTAACCTTGAGTTAATAAATTAACATTTCAAGAATATCAGAATGTTTGGCCTGATAGAATTTTCTGCTTTTAATTAATGATTCATTATGTTGTTGTTTTTTTAAAATGGTTCTTATATTACCTTTAAATGGAAATATATTGCTATAAACAAACCAGAATTAGGAATGAGAATTAACAAATTGCTTTTATAAGAAGACAGAATCTTTCCTGTTTGCTTTCTCATGACTAGATCAGAAAGATTCTTTAAGCACTTAAGTTATTCCCTGGTTTATTTTGTTTTGTTTTAGGTTAATCACATTCAGAGGCTGACTTACTAAGATATTAATAATCATCTTAATAGCTTTTAAAATCTTTATTCCAATTTTAATGTCTAGTTATGGGTTTAAAACAGCCAATTGAACAGGCCTTGAACATAGCTAATGGCTTCACTGTGAACATGTTTGAGTTTCCGAGCCCCTGTAGATTTCTTAGTGATTGAACTATTCTCCTTGCTTTAGCCGTAGTAATTCCTAATTTATTATTGAACTTTACCCCTCTTTTGCCTGAAGGAGAAAATCTATTATATTGTTCAGATATTTGATTCAGCATAAAGGCAATACAATTCCCCCAAGAAGACTCAGCCTAGAAAATTCTAATACTATACATTGCTATGTGTTTACTTACATCTGCTCATATGTAGGGTATGTGCAACTGTGTACATCGAGGTATATATTGTTTATATTTTGTTGTTGTTATTCAGTTGTTTCAGTCATGTCCAACTCTTCATGACCCCACTTGGGGTTTTCTTGGCAAAGATACTGCTGGAGTGGTTTGCCATTTCCTTCTCCGGCTCATTTTATAGATGCAGAAACTGAGGCAAACAGGGTTAAGTGACTAGCCCAGGGTCACACTCAACTAATGAGTGTCTGAGGCTGGATTTGAATTCAGGAAGATGAGCCAACCTGACTCCAGGCCCAGTACTCCATTCACTGTGCCACCTAGCTGCCCATATATTGTAGATATACACAAATGCATATTGCACATGTACACATGTACAAATACATTTGTGCATATACATTGTATGTATATGTGCAAAAGTGTACATATAATATTAGAGATCCTATACCTAGGAAGGGAGATGGAGTGAATCAAGCAATGAGAATGAGCAGTTGATGGACAAACCTCATGTTTCACAGCTCCTTTGGTATGCACATAATATCACAATATCTAGAGGAAGGCCTTTAGCAAAGTGGGAACTTTCCTCCCTGGAAAATTTTCAGGAGGATGTGATGCACAACAGGTACATGAGATAAGACAGTAGTGACTGGTACCATTGGCATTAAGGGATCTGTGTTTGGCTTGTGCTGTTTAACATTTTATCAGTGACTTGGCTAAAGGCATAAATTACATTCTTATCAAATGTTTAGATGACATAAAGCTGAGTGAGATAGACATGTTGGATTATAGTGTTAGCTTCAAGATCTTGATAAGCCAGAAAACTGGTATAACTCTAATGAGATAGAATTTAATAGGAATATATTTTAAGTCTTACATGTAGGTTCAAGAAACCAACCTAACTACAAGGAGACTGGAAGCATAATTAGATATAATTTGTCTGAAAAAAGATCTGGGGATTCTAGTGTACTGCAGAAATCAATGTGAAGCAACAGTGTGATATGGTAGCCCAAAGAGCTGATTCAACCTTAGGCTACTATAAGAGAGGCCTGGCTTCTGGGAATCAGACAGTGATTGTCCTATTGTATTCTCTGCTCTGGTCACACTATGCCTTGAATATAATGCTTAATTATGGACAGTACAGTTTAGGAAGAACATTAATAAGCTGGAGAACATGCAGAGAAGGGCAACCAAAATGGTTGCTGTCTAGTTCATGCCATGTGAGGATTAGTTGAAGGAACTAGGGATCTTTTAGCCCAGAGAAGAGAAGGGTCAGGAAGGATATGATAGCCATTTTCAAGGACTTGAAAGACTTTTTTGTGCAAGAAAAATTGGACTTATTTTATTTGGTGTCAAAAGGAGGAAGATGGAACACTAATGGAGAAAATAGTTCATCATAGAAAGGTGGACAGATCTTTTTCATTCATCGAGTTTCACTTCTAAGTACTTTTGGCAATGTTCTGGCTTAACTTAAAATTTATTTTTCCCTCCAGTCTGAGGTGAAACAGATATTTGGCAAGGAGATCAAGTGATTACAAATTGAGGCAATATTTATACATCATTACTGGGGTTAATTTACCTTGGTTAAGCTTCCTTAAAAATGGTGACGTTCTATGTTGATGTCCATCTTTTATCTATTTCCCGTTTTCCCACATTAATAACTTTTAAAATAGGTTAGACTAGAGTTACTTTGACTACAGGCTGTATCTTCCTTTCATTTTGTCCTTTAATTTGACATTGATTTTAATCTTTGCCCTAACAAGTCTGATTATACACAGGCACTTGGTGCAGATATGACTCCTTCATCCTTCAGTCATTTTCAGTCCAAGATATGGTCAGTTTTAAATTTTGTGTTATTTTTCATTGTTCACCATGTTCCTAACTCCCTTCTTGAAGAAGTAAGCATGAGGTTTCTCTATAGGTTTATCAGCCTCTGTTCTCTCTCATTTATTTCTCTTGAACTTTGTTCTCCAACATAATTTTTGTTATACTCTCTATATTCATCTTTTCATTTAAATCCTAGATTATTAAAATACTTATTGATTTAGTTTGAATAGTCTTGCTGAAGGCAGCTAAGTGGCACAATGGATAAAATCAGACCTCAGACACTTAGTAGCTGTGTGACCCTGGGCAAGTTACTTAACCCTGTTTGCCTCAGTTTCTTCATCTGTAAAAAGAGCTGGAGAAGGAAATAGCAAACCATTCTAGTATCTTTGTCAAGAAAGTCCCAAATAGGGGCAGCTAGGTGACTCAGTGCATAGAGCACCGGCCTTGGATTCAGGAGGACCTGAGTTCAAATCTGACCTCAGACACATAACACTTACTAGCTATGTGACCCTGGGCAAGTCACTTAACCCCATTGCCTAGCCAAAAAAACAAACAAACAAGAAAGCCCCAAATGGGGTCACAAAGAATCAAACACAACTGAAAAGACGAAAGTCTTGCTGAATTATTTATGGAATTTAACTACTCATTTTAGTATAGTATTCGTATATATGTGTATGCATATATATATGCATGTGTGTGTGTGTGTGTGTGTGTGTGTGCTATATTATAGTTTATATAGTATCTAGAAGAATATGTAGTATACATGCACACCGGTGGTGTCAAGCTGAAACAGAAATGGGGACCATGAAACCATATCTAAGGATCTCTATGGGCTTTATATTGACTTAGAAAACTACATCTTAACATTATCTGTGTTCTATTGTATTTATGTTTATTTTATTAAAATATTTCCCAGTTACATTTTTTATCTGGTTCAGGCAGCACTTGGTAGTGTTGTAGGCCACATGTTTGACATTTCTGATGTATACTATAGTATATGAGTAAACATCTATTTTTATTTATGTTTAAATTTAAATATACATTTAAATGCAAAGCTGATAATTCTGTATCATGAATATAGATACTATACTATATGAATATATTATATATGGTATAGGAATAATTATATATATTATATTGTATATAACTATATTATAGGAATCAATACATGTTTATTCCCATATAATATCATCTTTGCATTTAAGTTATATTCAACATATTCAATCAATACATATTTATTAAAT